GCATGAATATGAAAAATGGTAAACGCATATCAATAAATGAAATAAACTAGTGAGAGTGTAATACAACACATGTAATATTTACAATCCTTATATAACTTTAAACATTACAACAAGGTGGTCTTATATAGCATTATCCGGCATTCAATGAATCGAATCTCAATTTAAAAGCTTTATTACAATATATAGCTAATTTTGTTAACACTGACTTCCTTTCTGAATTCAGCAATTCTAAAAATTTAAACATACTAGGGTTTCTTGTAAAATAGTTGGATATATACTGTTTTCTAAGAGAATCATACAAAGTACAAATCAATACAAAGTGATATTCATCTTCGATGTCATTATTGTTGCAAATAGTACATTTCCGGTCATTTCTATCAATATTATTGTGTCTACCTGTTTCTATTAATAAATTGTGAGATGATAATCTAAGTTTAGCTAATATATTTCTTAATTTCATAGAGTCAACAATATCCAGGTATTTAGACCTGCTAAAATCGGTTTTGATATGTTTATACAAATACAAAGAAGAACAAATATGTACACTAGAATGCCAATTTGTGATATAAATATCTTTTAAACAACCATGTAGGACTGGTATTAATATATTTAGCTTAACTGATTCTGGATACATCCACACATCATTAAATCCAGCACTTTGCAAAAGTGTTTTTACTTTAGACAACCAATTTACAGTATTAGACTTTGACTCTATCTCCAAACTCTGACAATTAACAATATAATTTAATATACAATTGCTTGTTTTATTTTGGTATAATTTTATAAAATATTTAACAATTCTTACATGACGTGAAATATATAATGGAAATCGGCCTACTTCTGCAAACAGTGAAAGAGTATTTGTTGACATTTTCACATTAAGCAACCATTTACAGAACTTCCTATGTACAATTTCCAAATTTTCCGATGGTAGGCTACCCCATACCTCGCAACTATAATTTAGAATTGGTAGAACATATGCATCAAACAAGTTGAACATAATATCAATGGGAACTTGCTTATCTCGTGTTACATTAAATAATGAGCTCATAGCCCGTAGTGCTTTGCCTTTTAGTGTGTTGGTCGCTGGTATGAACGAACTTCCGCTAGACAAAACAATACCTAGGTAATTAAACGTTTTTACAATTTCTATATTTAAACCCCCGTATATCCACTTATAACTTTTATTTAAAACTCCGCCCTTTCTAAAAACAACAATCTTAGTCTTATCTACGTTAACAGTAAGATGCCATTTGTTACAATATTTTTCTAAACTATTTAAGGAATTTTTGATAAACCTTGAGCAGATTCAGAACAGATAACGGCGTCATCTGCAAATAATAGCAAATAAATCGATATTTGATCTAATGTTATACCATCATCTAAATTTTCTTGTAATAAATTTTCTAAATCATTTCAAAAAGAGACTGAACATTATTGGTGAAGTTATCTCACCTTGAAAGAGACCCATTTCACTACTGAAAAATTTCAGACAACGTATTTACATGTTTTACACACAATTCTAACAATCTTTCATACATTGAATATATTACAGAAAAACAATTTGCCATCAATACCACAGTTTTATCAAAGTTTATACCATAGGCAGTTCCTGTCAATAGATCATAACTGCTTTTTTAAAGTCAATAAAACAGCAAAATAGTTTTCTTCTTATCCTTTATAAACCTTTCGATCAAAGAATGTAATATAAAAATAGCATCTACAGTGCTATAATCTGCTTTAAACCCAAACTGGGCATCCGTAATTTTGTCATTTTCTACAGACCATTTCTTCAGCCTGTTATTTATAATCACTGTGAAAAAATTTAGCAAAACAACTTGTTATCGTAATTCCCCTATAATTACTCGGGTCTGTTGAATCACCCTTTTTATGTAAAGGAATAATAATACCGGATGACCAACATTTTGGGAAAGATCTACTATCAAGAATATAATTAAAAAGCAATTGTAAAGGATTCACAATATCATTTATACATGATGTAAAGTACTCGTATAAGATGTTATCAGCAGAACAAGCTTTATTACTACCTAAGCTTTTTGATGCTAGAATAATCTCTTCCACAGATATCGGTTTATCAAGTTCTTCAAATGTAGCATTGTTGCCTTCTGATTCTAAGAAAGTTTTTACAAAGTCATCGCAATCATTATTAGTTTCACGTTTATCATGATTTGTAGAAAGATTTTTAAAATGATCATAAAAAGAGTCAACTGTTATTTCTTCACCCCGATTTCCTGGCGATTTCTGTTTTAAAAGTCTTCCAGAATTCACGTGGTGATTTATGTTTTATTGTATTTAGAGATTGGGCAAATGTTTTATTATAATTATTTTTACATTTACGACAATAATATTTATAGTCCTTTTTCTTGGTATAAACGTTCATTCTTTTCTCATCATTTGGGTTGATATTATATTCATACATTGCCTTCTTAAACAATTCATGTTTTTCTTTGCACACTTCGTTATACCACTTTTGCCTGTTTACGTCTGTACCAGTAAAATACACAGTTTTTACTTTTTGTGCAGCGTTCAAAGTATTTCTTCCAATTTAAATGTAGAAAATCTGTGAATTTATTTACTAGTATATCGGGTACTTCTCCATTAGAAACATCATTTAACAAACTGTTTTCTAAATCAGTAATGCCGTGTCTAACGTCATTTACAAAAGCATCTTTATATTCATTATTCCACTTGTAATACGTATGATTTTTGGGAGATGTACTTGATAGCTCAGTATTAATACCGAATGAGAACGAGATTGGCGCATGATTTGAAAAGGTATTGAAATCTGTAACATTAAAACTGACAATGTCCTTAAAATTACCCTCTTTCCGTCAAAACATAGTCGACTAGACTTTCTCCGTTGTGTGTCATACACGTCCGCTTACCGATACCGTTATCGTTATGTAGTCTTCCGTTAACAATACGTATATTGGTTGATTTACATAAATCAATTAACAATTCTCCAAATCTATTCGCTGTTACGTCACACGTTGCGCGCGGGAGCGCCGAGTCAATATCAAATGTATCATCGTTTCCTATTATTCGATCGTTATCAATATAATCATGTTTTTTACCAACCCTAGAGTTAAGGTCGCCCCGAAACAAATACTTTTCCTAATGTGCTATATCTATTTATATCATTTTCAATTTTTCTAAAAATATCAACGTCATACGTATTGTGAATAGGAGAATTTTCTGGCGCTATATAGGTCACTGCAAGATATATGTCTTTTTCTATTTGAAAAAATGTTTTATCCAGTTTTAGCCAAATTAAGCAATCAATGTCATTTTGAACAACTTTAACCCCCTTACGGCAATTATCCTTTATATAAACTATAAGTCCCCCGCTAGATCTTCGTGCCCTCCTATGCTGAAAGCGTCTGTATGAATGGATCGGATTACTGTATCCGTTAAGGTCAATTTTCGACTTTTTGTTAGTCCAGGTTTCCGACAAGCATATAATATCAAAGTCTTTCAATACAGCTAAAAACTCGGACGAAGATCGTTTTGCCTCGCTAAATCCTTCAACATTCCATGACACACAATTCAGAACACTCTCACGTGTAACCTATTTCGTACCGTTACCGTTGTATAATTGCTTATTGATGTACAGCTTGTCAACCTTCAAAAATGCCTCATCACCGTTTTCCCGTGCTTTTTTCATGATTGGGATTAACTGTTTTCTAGTCTCTATGATTTCACGGGGAAATTGTTCGCTGATCCCGAACGGTGTGCCGTTTAATTGTTTTGATGAATTTCTGACCTTCTCCCTGTCTGGAAAATATGCAAACTTTGCAACTATAGGTCTTATTTTCTGGTGGCTATATTTCCCTATTCTATGAGCTCTATGAAGTCTAATGTTCGATTTTGCGTCATTGATTTTCAGCTTATCTTCTAGGAAGGATAATATCTTGTCCTCACAGTTTTCATCTTTCTCTTCACAAAGGTTATAGAATATCAAATTTATCTCTCATACTTCTACATTTTAGGTCTATAATTTCAGCTTTCAAGTCATCTTCTGAGCTTTTTTGTTCACTCTTTTTCATAGACTGTATCATTTTTTTCGAGCTCATCCTGCCTTTTGTTTATACTGTCTAATAAACTACTGCTGTCAAAGGCTCGGCTGTTTTCAATGTCCTGGATTTTGGATTCTATTACATTTTCTCTGCTTGCTCATGGCTGTCTGACTTTACCGTTAACGAGTTCACACTAGACTGAATAGTTTCTAAATGGCTGAGTTTCTTGTCCATCGAATCTAATCTTTGTATAATAATGGTCATCATATCACTTTGTGTATTCACGTTTCGAGGTGAAGTTTCTGGTGAGAATAATGGTGACGCTGAATTCATTGCCATATATTGATTATTACAGCTTTGATAAGGTAGTTGGGGTGGTAAAGAATTTACAATTGTTTAACAAACAAATTATCACATTGGGACGTTAAAAAAACAATCTCCATTCAAAAATAATTTCACATGTCCTTGACCTTTAGAAAGTTCCCTGTTCCCAGCTGATCATTTACACCATAAGCAGAATATCTTTGACTTAATTATAAGCGAGGTATGACCTAAATATTTCAAGACACAAAGACACAAAATGCTCCATTGCAGGCCCCTTTACCATTAAACATGTATAACAATACTATAGAAATAGAAAAATTCAAAAAATGTTTCAAATTTGTAATGAAATTTAGATTCAAATTTTATAAACAGGATAAAATACTTAAAATGATTGGATAGTGAAAATATTAATAGCCTTACATATTTAAAAGGTTCTATCTACAGGTTCATAGCTGATTCTTATAGCAAAGGATTGCCAAAACAGTGACAGTAGGAAGTGATAAAATTTCTAAAGTGACAACACAAAAAAGAACAGCAAATAAATAAATCTGAGGTAACTGTGGATATAACATATGATTTATTACATAATGATTTATTATTGATTGATGACTTTATTCCAGGAAACAAGAATTATAATAATGTCAGGATGAAATACAGACTTAGGCTTGACTACCTTGTTTCATGATATATATCAACTTAAATGTGATGTATATCACAATACTGATATATATCAGCCACCACAGTAAAAATCTTTTATAAGTTACCATTGTGGTATATATCAGCAACTAACAGGAGATATATGTATATCAGTCACTAGTGAGATAAAAAACCAAACATATGGTACTACATCTGGCAAAGGGATGCTTGGAGCAGCTTAGGTGTGATATAAATCAGTCACCATCCAGTGAGATATACATATATCATCATTCTATGTGATATATATCACATCAAGGATATATATCACAATACCATCTCTAATATCGAAAAAGAAATCATACATACACAGTTGTTTTATGATCACGGTCCTGTATATCATCGCTGTAAATAAACAATTAAGCCTGGTTGCATATGTGCTTTGATTCTAATGCATTTCCAAACTATATTTTACTGAAGCCAGAAAAAATAGAATTACTATCTATTTATAATTAAATTAAACTTGGGACTTTTCATTTCTAGAATATTTAATTTGTATGTATATGAAATAGTTAGAAAACTTTCAATTTAATATGGCCGATACCCTAGTATTATTAGTAATCCTAAAAGTGACACTGAAATGATCAGCTCCCAAACATCATATCAATACTTCACTATTACATAGAATACAAAAAAATTGTGTGCTGAGCAGTTAATGTGTCTGACAACATAAGTAATCTAAGGATCTCTAGCTGCTAGGGCTCAAACCCCGTCAGTGGCAAGCCATTGTTTCTGTGAGCAAATAACTTTACCCTCATTTCTCTGTACCGGTGGGTTCCAGTAACGGATTCAAGTGTGTCTATGACCTAGCTTCCTACACAATTGAACTATAATAAATTCTGTATAAAACTAAATTAAAAAAATTCTTTTACAAGAACAAACCTGTAAGTGTAACAGAAATGCAGGTTAGGGAAGTCATTATTGCTGCTGGCAATAGAGATACTCTAGAAAACTCAGCAATATGGGTATTTTCCCACCTTATTACATGGTACAAACAAACGTTTACAGTTAAATATATCTACATGTATAACCAGCCCTATAAAGTATTGAACTGTTTTAAAGCTGTAAGTTACAACAATTAAAGTTTTCCTTATACCATGAGATAATATTGGGGAAAAACCCAAATTTGCTGGATTCTGGAAAGCTGACCTTGAAAAATCTCAATCATATAGCATAGCAGAACTCGTTTGCAAGTTCACAGTATATAAACGATTTGTACCCCAACCGGATCTTGTGAGAAGATCTCAACATCAGTTCAGTACAAACAGGCGGTGTGACCAATAAAACTTTTTAAGACGGCTTGCATTTAATCTGAGACGGTATGTAAACATTTGAATCATATTAAGAAATATTTTTTCTTTGCTTATAGATACATTTATATCCAGCTTCTTTAAATTGATGCGCATAAAACGCTTTGCTCTTCGCTTCGTGTTTTGTTTATGTCAACACACGCCGATTACACAAGCAAATTTATGCCTAAAATTGTTTTATTTCACTATAACTCGTATCTGAATCTTAACTTTATTGTCTAAACTTGTCTTACCGCACAGACACTTGTGTGAATATCTTTGAATATTGATAAAATCACAGTAAATAATAGAGGCAAACATTCTGATAACTGTACCCGTCTTGCTAAAACAATTTTAATGATCTGTACCCTACTTGTGTTTTAACTGAACCATAACTTGCGAGTCTCTTTTGATGATTTTTATTGTTTTTGTCCTATGTTCCAAATTATATCTTGCAGAATATGAAGTTATTGTGTCACAAGAGCATGGCACATCTTTTAGTTCTATATAAGTAACCAATACTGCACATGAATGGACCTTCATCATGTTCTCACTTTAGTAGAAGTAGCTGGTAATACGAATTAGAAAGAAAATTATTTCTTGACAGGAATTATCAACCAACAAATCTTATCTTCATTTACCATTCATTTTTCTTTGAAAAGATATAAAGCTAAGATATAACAGAAGTTTCTACTAGTAAGTTCAACGGCATTGTTGTTAGTCTTGACGTGACCGTTATATAACGTCACATATCAATCCATCCTCCTCGAAAGATCATCACAGGATTACTTATTTCAACATGTTGAAAGTTTTACACGTACCGTTGATTTCATTATGCTTTTTGAAACACGGTTTAATATTCTCATAAGTGCCTTGAATTTCTATTTCTTACATGCGCGACTAGGATCACTCTTAATAAATCATTTGAAGGAGTTTCCTGCATATTGTTGTTAAATGTGTAAAAGGTAGTTTTCATTCTTGCAAGTTTATTTCCACTTATTTTTAAATAGTTAACAGTCTTGCCAGTGTCTAAGACAACCTGTTAGTTTTCTTTTCACACAACTTGAAAAGTTTATCATTGGCTATCATAAGTGATCTTAAGTCAAAAGATATATATAAATCAGGTCCCTTTCTATAAATTGCCATATACATGTATTTCAGATGGATTTGGATGAATCATTTGTAGTTGAGGGTCTTGACAGTAGCTTTCGTGTAACAGAAATTCCTTAAATGTGGAAGCTGTGGAATAATTTGACTCCAAGTTTAAACTTAAACTCTTAGTCATCTGTACTAAAAACGCATCTTTTGTTGATGTGTGAACAGGTGTTTTGATTTTTATTGACATTTCTTGATTCAAGTCCGTCTTGTCTTGAAACTTTTACTATTTTTGTAATATCATTTGCTTTTAAAGTCCTTTCTTCAATTATTTTGGAATAATTCTTACGTCTTTGGAGTATGATTTTAATGTTTATGTTATTGTTGTCAAACTGAGAAATTGTTATTTTAAGCTTTAAAAGCCTTTTGTTCTTATGTCATAATTGTGAACAATAGTGTTTCCGATTTTTTTTTAAGAGAAAGAGAAAATTCTTCCATTTTGCCTGTCAATAAACAAATAAATACGTTAAATGATAAAGTTCTCTCCATTAAATCTTTTAAAATACTCACAAGTCAGGGTACAGATAAAATTCGTAAACTCACAAGTAGGGTTCACAATCACCAGCAAGTAACGTTCAGTTTACGGAATTGACCTCCTTGGTTAAACTCTTAATTTAATGTTAAAAATACAGCAATATTTTTTGCAGATGACTAAATTATCATTTGTTATTGATTATTTTAGTAGTTCGATATCACAATTCAATGTTTAACTAAATAAAACTTGAAATAAGCAGATTTTTGTTCGTGTTCAGTGTTGATCACATGAAAGCAGTTCGTGAGTTTCGATTATTTTATAGCTTTAATGCTAACATTTATATTTTGCATAACTTAAACGTTTAATAAAGTTTCTCTTCTACGATATAAATAAAGATTTACTAACCTAACGTCCATAAGTATCAATATAAATACTAATATATTAAATAAGTCAAGCGTCAGAAAATGGTTGACACTGACATCTTCTCACAAGATCCGGTTGGGGTTCAAATCGTTTATATACTGTGAAGTTAGTACAGAACAGAAATAAAATTAAATCATATCAGGCCCTTTTTTCCGCTATACAACTAAGGAATTTTCCTGAATATGAAATATATATTTCCTACCAAAAGGATTTTAACAAATGCTTTTTTTACTTTTTTATTTATAAAATTCAAATGTTAAGACTACGAATATTTTAAATGTTATGTCTTCCTTAGACAGAAATGAATCCAAAGAACATTATAATTTTCCAGCAGTTTACATGTAGTATGTAGCTGCTGATATTATTTTAATCCTCATAAATTAGATATCGCCCTGTACATTTACTTTTCTCATTTAATGCATTTAGTGTAGTTAAAAATGATGGAAAGGGCCTGAACGTAACTTGTTTTAGCAGAAATCATGAACAGAAAAAAGCTTATGATGAAAGTATAAGAGAAGGCAGCAAATCAATACACATGTATAAAACTTCAATACATTTAGAGAATATCCATTAAAACACATTCTTCCCTGAAAACAGCTTTGAAAATTAATAACTTTTAGCCTATTTATTACCAAATGCTACATATTTTATAATTGTATATCTATGATTCAGTATTTATGAAAGAACAAGAAAATTTAATGTAGTGTTTTCCAAATTAGGATATAATGATCATCTATAAACATTATCATTAGAATACCATTAACATTTATCCATGTATTTATTCATACATATACATCAAAATATCATGTATAACATATCACCTGAAAGGATAAACTTATGTTGAATATATTTCATTAAGACAGATGGTCAAGAGTATTCCTCAGTGAAACCAGTAAAAATAGGGGTTTTTAATATAACAGACAATAAACTTAGTTTTTACAATAAAGACAATATAGACTGAGCAATAAAGCAAGTTTGTAAACACAGTTTGAGAAGCAATGTCAAAATAGCTAATAAGCTTTTACCATCACTTAATATCATTACTTATTTCGAAATGTACTTTGTTCTATTTACAATATAAATTACACCATTTTTGTGCAAACTTATCTTTTACAATTTAGATTGTTTCAATTCTTTAATATAAACATGGAGATTTTGTACATTTGGCCTAAATTATAAGCTAAAATTGTAGACATCTTTGTTCCAGAATAAATCTTGCAAGAGATAGCAGCTAGGAATACTGGTCCAATTATTTAAATATTGCATTTTTTTTTATCTTACAGTTTCATTTATTGGCAGAGGCTCAAAGTCATTAACAATCAATCTGTTATTCCTGACACTAGAAGTCTTTTCCATATATATCTAACCTTTACTCTGATACATGTGTGTACTTAAATTGCCTAGATTTGAATTTGGAACTTCTTGACTATTCTTGATTATAAAACAAGAGCTTGGATAACGAGCATTTTTTAAGTTAAAAAGGGCCAAAAAATTATGTCAAAATCCATGTTTAGAGTTATGGGCCTTGGACAGTGGCCTCCCATTATGCTCTCAAATAAGTGTGTGAAGTTTCAACCCATTCTTTTCAGCAGGTTTGGAGAATACCAACTTACACACAAAAACTGAACTAAAGTGTGATGCCAAACCCCCGGATAAGTGCAATAGCTCTCCCTATTCGAATAGTTTAGCTAAAAATTAGCATTAATGGAAACAACTATATGACCATCATAACCACAATATTAACAACTATTTTATAAATATAATCATGTGTCTAAAAAAGAGCAACACTTTATGTATATCAAATAGGCTATATTGGATTTTTCTATTTCAGTTCTGAGTTTACTGCTCACTACATATTTATTCCTGCATAATGCCTAGGTCACAAATAAAACGGGCGCCGTCCGATTAAACGATTTTTATAAAATCGGCAGATTTTTTGATGTCGTGGACGCCGGGCGATTTTAAATCTGATACCTTGCGTGGTCACGAATGAAACAGTCGTC